GCACCTCCTCGGTGAATTCGGCCAGGTCCTCCAGGCTGGCCTCCCGGTGCAGCCCGTTCTCTGCCCCAACCGGACGCTCCGACCGCGGTGCCGCATCTGCTGGTGCCTCCTGCACCGTCGGCTCCTCCCCGCTGTTGAGGAATCTTCCCCCGCGTCCCCAGGGAGCTCGGTCCCGCCGGGATCCCGCTGCCCACCCTTGGCCGCCCTCGCCCCCATCACCAGCTCCTGGTTGAACTCCAAGGCTTGCTCGACGATTTCCAAAATATCCGAGTCCTTCAGGACATCTGCCGGCACCTTTGCAGCGAGATCAGCCACGTCTGGGTGTTCTTGAATCATCTCTGGAAAATCTTCCTGCTCCGGTGCAGAGCCCGGTGGAGGTGGGTCAGTCTTGGATGGGGGCTCCTTGTCCCTGATCAGGGCGGGGCTGTCACTGTGTGGTGCTTCCTGCCCCATAGATGGATGCTCATCCAATGGCTGCTCAACCGATGGCTGCTCATCTGATGGTTGCTCATCCAATGGCTGCTTGTCCGATGGCAGCTCATCCAACAGCGGCTCAGCCAATGGTGGCTCATCTGATGGCTGCTCTTCCAACACCTGCTCATCCGATGGATGCTCCTCCGGTGGCAGCTGATCTGATGGATGCTCATCCAACAACTGCTCATCTGATGGTGCTTCATCCAATGGTTGCTCATCCAACGCTGGCTCCTCGAACGGCTTCTCATCTGATGGCAGCTCATCTGATGGCGGCTCATCCAATGGATGCTCATCTTTTTTTGCCATCCAATGGCTGCTCCTCTGATGGTGGCTCATCCAACAGCTGCTCATCCAATGGCTGCTCATCCGATGGCAGCTCATCCAATGGCGGCTCATCCAACGATGGCTCATCCAATGGTGGCTCATCCAACGGCTGCTCATCCGATGGCAGTTCATCCAATGGCGGCTCATCCGATGGCGGCTCATCCGATGGTGGCTCATCCAACGGCTGCTCTGCTTGGTCGGACAGTGGAGAAACCGCCATCTCCTGGTCTTGGAGCCCTGCTGGAGGGATGGGCTCGGTCGTATCATGGTAAGCTGTGCTGGGCTCATCTTCCTCCTCCTCCTGCCCCACCAGCCCCAGGTTGGAGCCTGGGAGTGTTTCGGCTCTGCCGGCATCGCCTTCTGGCTCGATCATGGCATCGAGCTCCTCGTCGGCTTCGGCAGCCGAGCCCTCCGTGTGCCCCGGTCCCTCGTGCGTGTCAGCACCCGTGTCACCCTGGGCTGCCTCGTCATCACCTCCTGCTAACGGCCCCGCAGCCCCGCGGGAGGTGGGATCTGCTTCGGGTGCAGCTGGATCTTCCTCCAGCTCAACAGAAAAACCACCAGCATCACCCTCATCCTCATCCTTTGGCATCTCAAACTCTTCAGTGGGCATCTTCACATCGTCATCTGCGTCACCAGCAAACGCCTCGAAGTGCCCTTCGTCCTCTGGCTCCTGAGACGCTTCTCTGGGAGCTTCCAGCTCATCTTTGCTGCCTTCGGTGGCTTCAACTTGAATTTCTTCAAAGTCCTCAGAGATCTCAGCTTCCTCTGAGCTGGACACCTCTTGGTTGGGAGCAGAAATTATGAAATACCCTTCCTCCACCTTGGCCCCCTCTGCCACGGGGACGATTTCCATCCCTGCCTCCTCTTCGTGGCTCTCCGCCACGGTGGGGGTCGGTGCCTTGTCCCTCCCTTCCAGCCACCCCTCAGCCTCCGGAGACATTTCGGACGTGGGGGGTGTCTTTGTGGTCCCCTCGCTCCCCAGAGGTTGTGGGCTGGGTGCGACCGCGGCCATCATCTCGCCTTCGTAGAGGTGCAAGGGCGTGCTGTCCGGCAGCGTGTCCTCCAGCTCCACGCTCCTGCCCGTCCCCGGCGCTGGCTCCAGCTCCCCCAGTTGCCCAC